TTTAATTTTTATTTATTTATTTATTTATTTTGAGACAGTGTCTTGCTCTGTTGCCCAGGCTGGAGTACACTGGTGTGATCTCTGCTCGCTGCAACCTCCACCTCCTGGGTTCAAGTGATTGTCCTGCCTCAGCCTCCCCAGTAGCTGGGATTACAGGCATCCGCCACCACTCCCAGCTAATTTTTGTATTTTTAGTAGAGACGGGGTTTCACCATGTTGGCTAGGATGGTTTGATCTCTTGGCCACGTGATCCACCCACCTCGGCGTCCCAGAGTGCTGGGATTACAGGCGTGAGCCACTGCGCCAGGCCTGTCTCCTCTTTTTTAAAATAAACTTTTGATTTGAGAATAGTTTATGCTTACAGAGAAACTGCAAACACTGTACAGAGAATGCCTGTGTGCCTCACACCAGTTCCTCTGTTGTTAAGATCTGACGTCTGTGATGCGTTGGACACAATGAATGGACCTGTGTCAATGCACCATTATTAACTGAAGTCTATTCTTTATTCAGATTTCCTCAGCATTTCCCGGATTTCCTTTTTCTGTTGCAGGATCACATGTGGCATTTAGCACTCATGGCTCCTCAGGCTCCTCTTGGCTGTGAGCTTCTCAGACTTCTCTTGTTTTTCACGACCTTGACAGTTTTGAGGAGGACTGGTCAGGTACATTGCAGAATGTTCCTTAATTTGGATGTGTCTGATGCTTTTCTTGTGATGAGACTGGAGTTATGAGTTTTTAGAGGAAGGCCCCTGATAAAGGGCCATTCTCAACACATGGCACCAGGAGACACACTACCAACCTGACCCATCGCTGATAATGTTGGCCTTGGTCCCCTGGCTGAGGTCATGTTAGCAGGTTTCTCCCTGGGAGGTTCTCTCCCTCCTCCCCCGTTTCCGTGTAATAGTCTTTCACGGGAAGTCATTGCACACAGCCAGCGGGTTAAGGAGAGGGGAACACGTTCTGGCCCCTTGAGAGTGGAGTGCCTGCCTAGATTACTCAGAATTTTTCTTCCGGATTTTTCTATTCTGCTGGTCACCGTTTACACATATTGTCTCCTGTAATTTTCACAAATGGGAGGTCAATATTATCCCTCATTTTACAGATGTGGAAAAGCTGACTGCCAAAAGCCACCCAGATTCTGAGTGGCAGGCCTGGCCCTTGAACCTGGCTGTTCTCAGAGCCAGCTGTCTTCAGTACTGAGCTCATTGTCTACACTGTGTCCGAGTGATGCAATTTCATTGAAATTCACTTCCTCCCTGGGTCACTTGTCACCTTCTCTTAAGCAGGGTAGGGCTCACTGGGGGAGAGGGGGTGTTCTGGGGTTCTCTAGGTGAGCCTACCCTTTAAAAGGGCTTCTCTGAGGATTTCAGGAATTGAGTCAGATTCCATAATGTCCAAGTTGGACTGGGCTCAAACCAGACTTTTTTTTTTTTTTTTTTTTGAGGCAGAGTCTCACACTGTCACCTAGGCTAGAGTTCAGTGGCGTGATCGCAGCTCACTGCAACCTCCACCTCCCACGTTCAAGCAATTCTCCTGCCTCAACCTCCTGAGTAGCTGGGAATATAGGTATGCACCACCATACCCAGCTAATTTTTGTATTTTCAGTAGAGACAGGGTTTCAGTATGTTGCCCAGGCTAGTCTCGAACTCCTGGCCTCAAGTGATCTGCCTGCCTCGGCCTCCCAAAGTGCTGAGATTACAGGAGTGAGCCACTGCGCCTGGCCTTAAACTAGATTTCAATATGGCGTGTGTTTGGGTTCCCTCGTGCAAGGAAGGCTGTATGTCTCATATATATATAGAAAAGGAAAGCTCCATTTGGTTACTCATCATTGTTTTTAGAGAATAAAGGTTGATACTTATACATTCTTAGAAGTATTGGGTCCACCTTTGATTTCCATTGAATGGGGTCATCTGTGTGATGAGAGGTATTATTCTGCCATCCTGGGAAAACCCGTGGGAAGCAGGGCGTGATTTCTTGGATCATGAAAAGCTCAGGCCTATAGTCAGAACGAGCTGGCTGCATGTTGGTTTTTCTGAACGCAACATAATATGCAGAACAGATCTGTATAATGGGCAGTTTGCTTTGTAGACTTTCAATTTTTCCTCTTTCCACCTATTCAAAGCGCTTAGGATATATCAGTGCAAAGGAACATCCTGCTGAAGATTGTGACGGACACGCTATTTCAGTTTAAAGAAATGGCTCCAAACGAATTGCAATTCGTTTTACTATGACCCTGGCTAAATCTAACTGACAGGTGCCGCCAAGCATTTAACTGGACCATAAACCAAACTGAGATCAAAGGATTCCCCCAGCTTCCCACACCACCGCCCAGTTTAGAGTAATTCAGCAGCTCTGGGTACCTGACAGCTGGCCTTATCCCCTCCCCACACATAGTAAAGGACGAGGGAGGGCAATGTGGTGTAAATGAGTCAAAAAAGCACCAGCGACTGGCTGTGAGTCACACAGCGAGGGGATCGTACCCTTTGTTTCCTACTTATAACTCGAACACTGTTAAACTCATCAGGGCTTCTTTTTCAAAAAGATACAAGGTTCCCCTTTTCACATTTGTGGTGAAATGTGAAAAGGAGATGGGCTGAGGTCAATGGCGAGCTTGCTCCTCAGGAGAGTTCACTCCTGATTTTGGTTGCCCGTTCCTTCTTCGCTTGGATTGATGGAGAGCAAACCCACAGGATTTCATACTGGTGGGGCAGCAGCCCAGAGTGGCCCTCAAAGAGGGAAACTGGGTTCCAGCCCCGGCAGTACTATCCCTCAGGGTGTGACTGGGGAGAGAGAAGCCACTTGATATATCGGAGGGTTTCATATTGGATTTGCTGAACTGAAGGGGCTGGGGGAGCAGAGATCAAGGGCACCCAGCCCTGCCTGCTGGAATCTCAGCCGCAGTGGGGAATGCTGGAAGCTCCGCAGCCTCATGCTCACTTGGTATTCTGTCTGCAGAGGTGGACTGGGCTGGGGAGGCACCTCAGGTCTCATGCCTGCCCGACCCCAGAGTAATGTCCTTGCCACCTCTCTCCCATCCCAAATCTCAGGCAGTGCCACCCATTGGAAGTTTCTGTGCAAACCAGATGCCTGTGGGGAGTCTGGGCCCTGAGCCCGGCTTCTCCGTGATTCAGGGGTTCCTGGGGAGAGGTGATACCAAGTTAAGAAGAGAGTGCATAGAAATGTCCATGAGGCCCCTGCAGCTACAACAGTGGAGGCTGAAAGGAACACGCTGGAGTTGGAACGAATACGTGGGGATTTCTGAACGCTGCATCCCCTGTGCATCAGGATGGGGGACTGTGGCTAGGCACAGTGGCTCACGCCTGGAATCCCAGCACTTTGGGAGGCTAAGGCAGGTGAATTGCTTGAATGCAGGAGTTTGAGACCAGCCTCGGCAACGTTAGGAGATCCTATCTCTACAAAAAAAATTTTTTTTTAATTAGCTGGGCATGATGGTGCTCGCCCGTGAGCTCAGTTACTTGGGAGGCTGAGGAGGGAGGATCTCTTGAGCCCAGTAGGTCCAGACTACAGTGAGCTATGATCGTGCTCCTGCACTTCAGTCTGAGTGACAGAGAGAGACTCCATCTCTTAAATAAACAAAAAAGATGGGAACTGGGTACCCAGCACCTCCCTTGGGGTTCGGGAGGAGAGACTCGGGCAGACTGCTCATGTTCCCAAGGAGTTCAGACCTCATCAGCAGGGGCCTGGATGGAGGTGGGAGGTAAGGGGAGGGTGCAGTGGAGGGAGAGCGGAAGCTCTTTCCACCAGCTGTGGTTGATCATGAAGGAATGAGGTCTGAGCTTTGGGGACAGTGGTTCTCACCTGCGGTGTTCTTGCCCCACTGACGGTGATTTGGCAGTGTCTGGACACAGTTTTGGTTGTCACAACCTGTGCGGGAGTGGGGGTGGTTGCTACTGGCATCTATTGGGGTAGAGACCAGGGATCTGCCCAGCATCCTGCAGTGCGCAGGGCAGTCCCCACAACTGAGAGTCATGTGGCCCCCCGTGCCGACTGTGCCAAGGCTGGGACTGACCCTGCTCCAGGGCACTCAAGTGGGGGAGGTATACGCACACAAGGACCTATGGGCTAGCTGGCATCAGGCGGCATGGACAGTTGACCTGAGAGGATGCTCTCCCACTCCATTTTGGTTTTCCTTGGGTGAATTCTGGAAACAGCACTGTTGCTCTGATGGTCTCCTTATGCACCATTAACTGAGAGCACCATGGGCGTGCCTGGGAATGAGCAGAAAGTTAGATCCTTTTTGGAGGTGCAAGGTGAGAAAGGGGAGAAATCTGTGTTCTCTAAGAAATCTCCTTACCTGCTTTGCTTTATAGCTGAGGGCCTTGCCTGCGACACTCTGTGGGATGTGTGTGGGGTAGGTAGGTGGAGAGAGAGAGAGAGAGAGAGAGAGAGAAGGAGAGAGAGAGAGAGAGACGGCGGCGGGGGGGAAGGTGGGGTGGCGGGTACAGGTGGAGAGAGAGAGACTGCCGCTTCTGGGTGGGAACAGAGGGTGCCAGCGTGAATTGGCACTGTCCTATTGCTGTGATGATGACTTTTTCCTCCCTGCAGCTCCGGAGCACTTGGAAGTGGTTCTGAAGCTCATTTGCAGCTTTGCATCTGTTTGCACGGGCGTCTGCTGCTGGGAGTTGAGGCTGCCTGCCCGCGTTGGCTGTCTGAGGCTGAGCTCCCTACCTACCCGCAGAGTCCCTGCCCCCCACGTCCACTCCCAACAGTGTGATGGGACAGCTCCTCCCGCAAGTGCTTTGTGGAAGGAGACCCGCAAGAACCCAAAACAGCAGTGCTGCAGCCAGGGCGGTGCCCTCTGCTTTCCTCTGTTTCCTGGGCTCCGGGAGAATTCTATCTTGGGTCCGAGAAAAACTCACACAGCAGACTGGCTGGCCCAGGGCTGACTCGGTGTTTCTTTCTCCCTCTAGGAAGGCCTGGCTGGAATCAGCACATTTTGTGGAAGTGGGAACCAATACACGTGTACACTTCTCTTTACAGGGCACGCTATCATCACTAACTACTTGTTGAACTATTTTCCCGGTCTTGACCTTGAAAGGAGAAACGCGTTTGGGTTCACCGCTCTGATGAAAGCCGCCATGCAGGGTCGAACGGACTGCATCCGAGCCCTGATGCTAGCAGGTATGTCCACCTGTCCCGTGCAACTTCCAGGGGCCCCGGGACACCAGAGTTGCTCCTTTAAGGAATATGTTTTGAGATTAATCACTCCCATAGAAACAACGCCTAGTTGCTGCAATAGGGAATAGTTTCTTCACTGAGGAACACGGCTGTAATTATCTGAGTTTTTAAAAAAGCCAACAACAAATGCTTTCAGGATCACGGGGAGAAGCCATGCATTTGTTCCCTTCAGACGCCCCGTCCTGCTCCCTGCTGAGCTTTGCAGTGGGTGGCATCTTCCCTCCCCTTCTGTTTTCCTCCTGCTCACCCATTCTACACCCCTAGCCCTGTCCATTTCTGTTCTTCCTCAGAAAGGGGTGATCTCTTGGCTGTAAATGGCAAGACTGTGCTGTTGAAGGTGGGTGTAGGGATGGTGGGAACGGCCCAGGCCATCCTAGGTCCCTGCTTGCTGGAGGGTGGCATTGCATAGTAATGTTACGAGGCGATGTGGAGTTGCATGGTAATGTTAGGAGGTGAGGCGGAGTTGCCTGGTAACATTGGGAGGTGATGTGGAGTTGCATGGTAACATTAGGAGGTGATGTGGAGTTGCATGGTAACGTTAGGAGGCGACGTGGAGTTGCATGGTGACGTTAGGAGGTGACGTGGAGTTGCATGGTAACGTTAGGAGGTGACGTGGAGTTGCGTGGTAACGTTAAGAGGTGATGTGGAGTTGCATGGTAGTGTTAGGAGGTGACGTGGAGTTGCATGGTGACATTAGGAGGTGATGTGGAGTTGCATATTAATGTTGGGATGTGATATGGAGTTGCATGGTAACGTTGGAAGGTGACGTGGAGTTGCATGGTGATGTTAGGAGGCAACATGGAGTTGCATGGTGACGTTAGGAGGTGATGTGGAGTTGCATGGTAACGTTAGAAGACGACATGTTGTGTGGTAACATTAGGAGGTGATGTGGAGTCGCATGGTGACATTAGGAGGTGACGTGGAGGAGGTGATGTGGAGTCGCATGGTGACATTAGGAGGTGACGTGGAGTCACGTGGTGACGTTAGCAGGTGACGTGGAGTCGCATGGTGACGTGGAGAGCCCAGTAGGTCCAGACTACAGTGAGCTATGATCGTGCTCCTGCACTTCAGTCTGAGTGACAGAGAGAGACTCCATCTCTTAAATAAACAAAAAAGATGGGAACTGGGTACCCAGCACCTCCCTTGGGGTTCGGGAGGAGAGACTCGGGCAGACTGCTCATGTTCCCAAGGAGTTCAGACCTCATCAGCAGGGGCCTGGATGGAGGTGGGAGGTAAGGGGAGGGTGCAGTGGAGGGAGAGCGGAAGCTCTTTCCACCAGCTGTGGTTGATCATGAAGGAATGAGGTCTGAGCTTTGGGGACAGTGGTTCTCACCTGCGGTGTTCTTGCCCCACTGACGGTGATTTGGCAGTGTCTGGACACAGTTTTGGTTGTCACAACCTGTGCGGGAGTGGGGGTGGTTGCTACTGGCATCTATTGGGGTAGAGACCAGGGATCTGCCCAGCATCCTGCAGTGCGCAGGGCAGTCCCCACAACTGAGAGTCATGTGGCCCCCCGTGCCGACTGTGCCAAGGCTGGGACTGACCCTGCTCCAGGGCACTCAAGTGGGGGAGGTATACGCACACAAGGACCTATGGGCTAGCTGGCATCAGGCGGCATGGACAGTTGACCTGAGAGGATGCTCTCCCACTCCATTTTGGTTTTCCTTGGGTGAATTCTGGAAACAGCACTGTTGCTCTGATGGTCTCCTTATGCACCATTAACTGAGAGCACCATGGGCGTGCCTGGGAATGAGCAGAAAGTTAGATCCTTTTTGGAGGTGCAAGGTGAGAAAGGGGAGAAATCTGTGTTCTCTAAGAAATCTCCTTACCTGCTTTGCTTTATAGCTGAGGGCCTTGCCTGCGACACTCTGTGGGATGTGTGTGGGGTAGGTAGGTGGAGAGAGAGAGAGAGAGAGAGAGAGAGAAGGAGAGAGAGAGAGAGAGAGCGGCGGGGGGGAAGGTGGGGTGGCGGGTACAGGTGG